TTAAACCAAAATCACCACAGAAATTAGAGTGCAAAAATAAATAAAAACGGAAGCAAAACAAAGAAAGATCACACCGAATTTATAGTGGTTCGGTCAATCCTTGACCCACGTCCACTCCTTAGAGGCACCCTCCGAGTATTGCACTAAATAAGTGTCTCTCATTTAGTTCCCACATCTAGGCAGAGAAGCCTTTATAATAGACTCCTTTTCAACAACCCTGGTGCGGCAGAGAACTGACTCCTTTGGCTTCCTTCTGAAGCGGGCAGAGAACCCAGACCATTTACTGAAGTAGACCTCCCAAGAACTCCCAAGGACGAAAGGACGAATGAATGGAATGATGACTTGGAACCTTGCTGGAGCAACCTTGTGTGAACCCTCTCACAAACCTCCCCCTCACACATTTTGGCTTGTATCCCTCTCTCTCTCTCTCTCTCTCTCGTCACTCTTCTCTCTTCTCTCTCTCTCTCCAATGCTCTCTACAGGTCAAGATAGAGTACCTCAAGGTCTTATTGCAATGAAAAAATTTGGGTGCCTTTTAAATAAAATTTCAAGATCCGGACAATTCATTCGTCCAGGATGATAGGAATGTCATCATGGCCGACAATACAAAATTAACTCATTCAACCGGTGTCAAACGCGGATGATTTAGAAGGAAAATTGGGGGTTTACATTCATCCGGCCGATACAGTATCAGCTTAGATGATTAGTTAAATTTCGAGTATAACATTTTGAACATCTCCCTGAACATATTCTGGCTGATGTCAATCGTTAGCTCATCATTCTGGCCAATTCTGTGATCGGCCCAGCCGATGTGATCGTATCAATTAGCCTATTGCTTTTGTATCTGCCAGATTAAATTAGACCATAATTATGTTGTATCGTCCAGGCCGATATGGACATCGTCCGAGCCAATAATTTAAAATAAAGAAATACCTAAATTGATCATGGCGGTTGATTCTTTCTGATTTGAGCCTATCTTCCTTGCCGATACACGTATCGTCCAGGATGATTTTCTTAATGACGGCTGCTTAACCAGGATGCTCTAATTAGGGTTTCTATTTTTAGTTGAATCGTTCTGGCCGATATTAACATCGTTCTGGCCGATGTACTCAAAACAAAAAAACTCAAAAAACCCCTCAAGTGTGTGTGTGCAAGGTTACTTAGCATCAGGAACCACTTTTATAATTGACTCAAGAAAGAAAAAATACAGACTTGACTCAACCTAAATCTATCCGATCTTGAGCTGGCTTGAGTTGCATTCGATCTTGTGGACCTAAAAAGTTAGTAGGCAAAGCAGTCGTAAGAAATCATGAATGTTTGCTATCATCAAAAGTCTAATCAATAAACTCATATTTGAAACATCATTGGCCCTCTGGCAGTTAAAGTTAATTTCGTTAATTTATTTCCAGCTGTCAAGGAGTGATTGCATCACCTATTGTCGATGATGAGGTGTGTTATATTGTCCTATGTCAAGCCTTTAGTCAATTTGTTATAATATATGTTGAACATGGGATGATGGCACTACACCATCCTATATGATTAACTCGATAACCAGCCTAATGAAAGAGCTTTATTTATTGAGTGTTAATGAAATGGTGATTGGAAGTGTTGCGCAACCTCAAGTTGATCTTCCTAATACGTTGTAAGTTTAACATGTTTTTGTTAACTTGTAACTATACATAAGCAGCTATATTCTTATGTTATTATCAAAATTATATTAATATTAGTCTCCTAGTCGATAAGTTGATATGAGTGCCCTTGATCCTTCCTCGCACACTTCACAAAGTTATGTACGCTAATCAGAAGGTTAGTTTGTGAATAAGAATTTAGTTATCGAGGTATAAGAAAGTAGGACTAGTGGCACAAGTGATGAGTCTTCTAATTCAAGCGAGAGAAACGATGAAGGCTACCCTGCAGTTCAGAGTTTACTGTAAGAGTACTATGGAAGGACCAGTGTACAAATGAGTTTGTCATTACAAGTTAGAATGCAAGAGAATGGAATAGATACTTAGTTTGATGGTGTTATTGACAATGATACTGTTACATACGAACAACATATTCTTGATGAAATTATTGAGGGCATGTGTTTTGCTACCAAAATAGACTTATAGTTTATACTATTTAGTTCGTCAATCATAAATGATGTTGAGTTTCAAGTTATTTCATCAAATTGGCTAAAAACTACAATATGCAATGTGTATTATGTAACTCTTAATAGACTTTACAAATGGTATCTTCATGCAAGCTCTAGCAAGCATTTGGGTGGGGCATGAAAGGTATCATCTACGAGATGTGGTCATACATGCACCAATCCAATTCTTTTATCTGGTTATAAATAGTTAACTCCAAATTCATAAGTTATTTTATCCAGCCTATTGTAAGGCAATAGATTGATATAAATCCTCATGAAATCATCGGTCGGAATGTGTCAAAGTTTGATATTTGATTGTCATATATGAAGTGGGATGCTCGAATAAAGGCCATCATATCAATTTTTTATAAATAGCTCTAATCAAACTATTAACCTTCTGATGTAAGCTATGGTCTCTATTATGTTAGAAATTGTTCATATATTAAACAGCATATATATATACCTAAATTTGAAAGACTTTTTTAGGCTTTTAGTCCTTGTATTTTTGGCTAGGCCTATTGTCAAAAAATTCTTAACCTCGATGGTACTTTCTTGCTTGATAAATATATATGTACTTTACTCTCTATTGTTTGGATAGATGTGAACATTATTCTTTTTTTCTTTGACACCTTATACTTGATTTCTCTAGTGATTATCAAAACTGCTCCCAATTGCAGGCCTGATGGAGGATCTTTGTATTATTTCATCTGTTTGTTGTAGAAATCTGACATAAAATTATTATCCCATGAATACCATGGATGACAAAGATACAATGCTCATAATAACCCCTTAGCCCTTGAACATCAACAAAAATAATATCTTCTTTATCACATCACATATCATAAAATTGAGTCTGAATAATGCTAGCACTAACCAAATGCTTGCTACAAATTTTATTAATTGTATTCAGATCATATAATAAGACAAGTCTATGCATTTGATTTGATGATACTACTTTACAGCTCAAATACTATGATAAGTCTTTGCAAACAGTAACATTATATAAACGACTTTATAGCTCACATATTGTGATAAGTCTCTACAAGAAATAACATCATATAAAGGACTAAACAACTCACATAATTTGACATATCTCTGCAAGCAATAATATCATATAAAGGACTTTATAGCTTATAAAATTTAACAAGTCTCTGCTAATAATAACATCATATAAAAGACTTTATAAGTGACAAATCTATGCAAGCAATAACTTCTAATAAAAGAATTTACTGAGCTATACAACTCTATGCTACGAATAATCGTTTGGCTAATAACAAATACGTACATGTTTATATTATACATTAATCATTAGTATAATATAACACCTTCATGTCATAGTATAATTATATTTTACAATAAGCTTCAACTTTTAATTATATTATAAAAATAATCTTCAAATTTCAATTTTATTTAAAAAATAAATGAAATTATGTTTTAAAAATAATATAATTAAAATTTAAAAATTAATCTTTAATTTTTAATTAAATTTTAGTTTGTTTTAAATTTCGAGAGTTAGAAAAAGTTTATTGTTTACACTACCACTCAATTATAATTATATAAAAATATTATAACATAATCATATAACTCAATAATTTTTTCTTAAGTCATTATACTTTTTTTAAATAATTTATTTTTAATATACTGTAATAACAAATTCAAGTTATTCAATTAAATTAAGTTAAAATCCTAACTAAATCTAGAATTCAACTAAATAAAATTTAAAATAACTTCTTAGAAATTTGCTAAGTTAAAAAATAAAATTATTGTTTAAAATGCCTCTCAATTTAAATTATATAACAACAATTACGACATAAACATATTGCTCAATAATTTTTTCTTAAATTATTTATAATTTTTTTCATAAAATCATTTTAAGAATAATGAAATTACAAGTTATTGAATTAAAAAATTTAACCGATTGGTCAGTGGTTGGCCAAATAAAATTATGGCTTCTAATTTTCATTAAAATCAATATATAAAGATAGTTAAAATTAGGGTTGTCAAAATCGAATTTTGGGTCGGGTGCGAGTCGAACCTAGAATTGACCATGGTTCAAACGGGTAGAGCCAAACACGGTTATGCAAACATGTCAGAAGTTCAGACCAGGATCCGACCCGTTGGGTTACCAGGTTGACTCGACCTTAAATGGTTGGACGACAGGGCTCGGGTTGACGATGCAACTGTCAGGCAGCTCAACGCAAAGTGAAGACGGGCATGGGCAGCTCGGACAGTGAGCAGCCTCGAATGCGATGCGTGGGTGGGCACGGGCAACTCAGAAATGACGTGCATGCAAATGCGGGCAACTTGGACATGACACATGGGCGGTCGCGAGCATCCTTGGGCACTACTAGCCGGCAGCGCGGTCAGCTCATTTCAAATGGGTTTTTGGGTTGACCCATAGGGTTTCCGAGTCAACCCAAACCCGGTTCTTTTTTTAAAACTTGTTGAATCCGAGAATCTGAATCACTATCGATATGCCTTCCTCCTCACCTTTGAAATCTTCTCAACCATAGAATGATACCAACCAGACCTCTGCCTCCAAACCCCAACCTCCAAAAACTGACATCATCCCTAATCTCAACTCCCCTACAGATGAAACCATTATTAACTCCATCGCTCTGTACATACCCCAAAAACTGACAACTGTTGTTGTTTCTCCTAATAAATTTGATGCTCTTTTGAATATACAAACATATGCTTGCTCCTCCAATATTGGCCATGATTTGGAAAATCACTCGGTTAAGGATAAAGAAGATTTCCATCCACCAAAAGCTAAAGATGCTATCATACCATAGCCTTCTCCCTCTTTCTTAGCAAAAATTACCCGAGGCAAGCATAAGAAGCCTCAACCATCCACCTCCAAATCTCAATGATCCTCCTCTCCATGGCCTCTTGGAACATTAGGGGTTTTAATAACCCTAGCAAAGTTATTGCTTGTAAGCATTTTATCAAAGTTCATAAGCTGGATCTGATTTGTATCTTGGATAATAGGATTCACTTGAATTCTATGGATGACCCTTGGTTTATTGCTGCTCATACGATTTTTGACTCTGAAGTCAACTGCAATAATATTAATCTTTCTGCTTCTAGAAGGATATGGATTAAATGGGCGGGGGATAAAATCTCTTTTGTTCCCACCTTTTACTCTTCAAAGTTAATTTTTGGTTTTGTTTCTTATGGCCCGGCCAAGTCCTTTGTCCTCAGTGCTGTTTATGGCTCCAATTATGTGGATGAAAGGTTGTTATTTTGGCAACAACTTTGTTCCAACACTCCTACTCCTGATTTACCATGGATCATTATGGGAGATTTTAATTGCTGCATATTTCAAAATGAGAAGACTGGAGGCTCCCCTCTTTACTTCAGTCGTATGGGTGATTTTAATTCATTCATATATGCTAATCATCTCATTGACCTTTCTTCCACTAGTCTTTTTTATACATGGTTCAACCAACAAATTGAGAATTCCATTCATATTAAGCTAAACAAGGCCTTAGTTAATGAAGCTTGGATTGCCAAATACCCACTCTCCTATTACTTTGTTGATAAGCCTATGTGTTCTGACCATAGCCCTATTGTTCTTAAAGATGGAAGCTCCAAAACTATCAGTAACCGTTTTCAATTCAAAAATTTTTGGACTTCTAAGGATGAATACTGGGGCATTATGTTAGATATTTTTTTGGAGCCTATTAAGGGCAATCCCCTGATGGATTTCTCTAATAAGCTAAGAAAGATGAAAGCTTCTGTCAAGACTAAAAATTGGGCTTCTGCTAATTCCATTCAATTATCTCTTCATAGCTTACAGGAAAAGCAACATCCCCTCCTTAATTTTTTGGATTGTGATCCTTCCAATCCCACTCTTAATGTTGTTTTGAAAGCTACTAATGGTGATATTACATATTTAACCTCCTCATGGACTTCTTGGGTGTCACAAAGGGTCAAAGCCAAATGGCTTAAAGATGGGGAAGATGACCTTAAATTTTTATATTCCAAAATCCGTATGAGGAAATCCTTTAATAATTGCTTTTTATACTGCTTTGTGTGACAACTCGGGGAACATTGATAATGCTAAGCAAAAGGTTATTTTCCATTTTCAAGACCTGTTTAACCCCATTTCTCTTCAGATCCCTGTCATTTCTTCCTTCCTGGTTGGTAGAATTGCCTCCTTGGTTGGGTTGTATCAGGGGTGCCCTCTCAGGCCTTATTTATTCTGTGTTGCTATGGATGCCTTATAAAGTTTTTTTGACAATTTGGATGAGGGCTCTCCGTTTCAGCCTGTTGATATTAATGGATTTAGAATTTCACATCTCCTTTATGCAGATGAAGTCCTCATTTTTGGAAAGGCCACCCCTTCGTTGAATGACATTCTTTTTAAATTTGCCAACTCCTCAGGCCTTATAATTAATCCAGATAAAAGTTCTATCATTATGCAAGGGAGCTCTCCTTACATCAAAAATATTTGTGATATCATCCACATCCATAATGTCTGCACTACCTTCACTTACTTGGGCATTCCTATTTCCATTAAAAGAACACTTATCTCCCAATTCTCTCCCCTTCTTGATACTATAACTAACAACCTTTCGGGTTGGAAAGCGAAGTCTCTGTCTTTTGCAGGTAGGATATAATTTTTGAGGTTCACTATATGGAATACTATTGCTTAGTGGATTCGTGGGGCAATTATACCTAAATCTTGTTGCAAGCAGTAAGCTAAGTTCTCAGCTAAATTTATATTTTTTAGAGATATTTAGGCTAGAAAGCTTCATCTGGTATCTTGGGCTAACACATGTAAGCCAAAAAATAAGGGTGGTCTTGGAATTCCGATTTTCAAGCTATTATATATGCCTATGATTGCTCCCTCATTCTTAGAATTTATAAATGGCCTTCACCACTATCTGCTTGGTATTTATCCAATCATTGCTCTCCTTGGAAACCCCCCTCTATGTCCTCTTCGGCTATGTGGAAAATAATTTGCAACACTACCATGAGAGCTAAATCTAACTTTATTTTTAAAATCACTAATAATTGTCCCATTAGCTTAAAATGAGACCGTTGGTGTAATGGTCTTTGCATACAAGAGCTTCGTGATTATCACTCCCTTACCAGTCTCTTTCCGGACATTGCACATTTGGATGTTCTCTTTGAATACGAGGAATGGAAAATTCAGCCTATTTGTTCTGATAATATTCAGAATGCTATTTGCACTATTCCTATTGTTTGTGAAGGTCGGGACAAATGCTTACCTGGGGTTCGGGTGCCACTTATAAATTTGACTATTTCATTCAAGATTTTTAGAAACTTGATGATGAAGCCTTATGGAGCAAAGTGGTATGGTATAAACACTATGTTTTAAGATTTTCAATTTATGTCTGGCTATGTTTTGTTGGTGGGTTGAAAACTACTGATGCCTTACGAAAGAGAAATATTGAGGTGGATCCACAATGCATTTTTTTACACAGTTGCCCGCAAAGTGTCTCCCATTTGTTTTTTTTAGTGTGATTATACTTTCTGCATTATTACTACACTGCTTCCTTCTTTAAACACTTTTCTCATGAGCCAAATTTAAGTCAGATTTCTGATTTACTATCAAATTGCGGCAATTCTAATTCTGGTAGCTTATCTGTTAAACTTTTGACCTTTTGGGCTGCTGTTTACACCATTTGGAGGGAGAGAAATGAACAAAAATTTGTCAATTGTTCCAAAAGCATCAGGACCATTCAAACTCTGATTAAAAAGGTGGTTGCTATTAAACTAAAAAGATGGAAAAAGCATGAAATTTCATTGTCCTAATGAAGTTTCTTTTACGTGAGATCTGTTGGCTTGCTGGCATTGTTGTGTCTTGCTCCGTCTCTTTGAACTATGGCACTATTTCGGGTATCTGTTAGTGTTTTGTATTTTATGGTTGGGGTCGATGATGTGCAGATCTCATCCTTCTCCCTGGATGACTAATTTTGCAACATTTTTTCTATTTGAAGGCATTTTTAGCAACCCGGGGTTCACCTTCTTGAGGATGTTTTCTGATTTATCATGAGCCCGTTTTTCGACTCAACCCCATCTGCTCTGGGTGTTATTTGGCTTCTTGGCTGGTGTACTGCTTTTCCCAAGCTGTTTTTGTTGGGGATCTGTTTCTTCAAGTATGTTTCCTGTTTTTATCTCTTCAAGCATGTGTAAGTTTTGACACTTTTTGTGCTCATTTTCTTGTTGCCCTTAGCAGCTCCTCACAATTTTGTTTTTTTTTATCTTCTTTAACACATGTAACTAGTTTTTTACATCAATGAAATTTGGGCTCTGCCCTACTTTTCCCAAAAAAAAAAAAAAAAAAAAAAATTAAAGAGGCTATGACAAGACTTGAATAATATTAGCTGTAAACGAAAATTTATCGAACGAAGCCGTAGGAATGAGGAGTCGGAAAAATAATTTAATATTTGCATAAAAAACAATAGAATAGCCTCATCGAGGCTATAGAGTAATTTGGTTGACCTCTTTTTTGGCACCGGCCACTTGCACATTCTTATCATTTTTGTATTTCGTAGCTCGATTCATCTACTTGTATGTTGCACCGCTGTGTTGATGAAAGGTCACCTTGCGTATGCTACACCGGCTCATCGTCGGCCTTAGGATTTAGTCATTTTGATCACATGTTGTCCTCTTATCATGTTTTAAAATACATGTGGTTGGGTCGATAACGATTCGATGTGATTTCATGCATTTGGGCCTTTATCGCGCATGTTCGTTCTATGTGCAATATCTTTTGATCGAAACTTTGTTTTGCAAAAATGGACTGATTGAGTACATCCGGCTCGTCGAGATGAATTCAACGAGTCTTTTCGCGCTTGGATCGGACACCATTTCATGCATGTTGAGGAGAGAGGTTTAGATCATTATTTCTATTACTATCATTATTTTCAAATGTATATAATATAAAAATAGACCTTCTATTTGCTTGTTTATTAAATAAATATAATAAAACATATTTTAATTAAGATATGGATATGAAATAATACGTTTATATAATACTATAAAAATATATAATAATATCTCATTCTAATTATTATTCTAATTATTATTATTATTATTATTATTATTATTTTATATATATTTAGTTTAAATATAAGTTCATTTTTGGCTTACTTTTTCATTTCCTAAATCTAGAAAAACTTCTAAATCTAATGGTTGAAATTCGTCAATGATATTATTTAATTTTAACCCTTAGATTTAGGGCATCAAAAAGAGATTAAATTTGGACCCTTGGATGAGGGGTTTTGGGGTTTTTTCTTTTAGCTCTCATTTTCAGGTTGAGGGAGGGATTCACCCAAAAAGAAAAGAGGGGAAGACTGCAGCCGAAAAGAGAGAGGGGTTTTCTCTCCATGACGCTCTCCTTCTCTAGATTTCAACAGTTCGACCACACCTCCAGCCTACAAGCACATGTTCGATCATCTCCTACCATCCAGTGATCACCATCTCCTACCATCCAGTGGCCACCTTTCCTTCCGTCTCTCTTCATTTGGCTGAAGTAGTTCAAAGCAAGAAGGCTGATGCTTTAGGACCTAAATGCCGCAACAAAATCAGCCCTTCTATCACTTACCTGCACAAGTTCCTGGAAGAAGTGAAGAGAAATCGGCATCAATTCGGCCAAGCAAGAGCAGCAGCTGTTCCTTTGTCTCAAAAGAACAGCAGCCAAGTGGAGCAGCCATGGACCTAGAGATCAACGAATATGCTTTTCCACTTAATCTATTGAAGAAGATCGAGCAGAAGGAAGTTGCGATCTTCTGCCTTAGTGTTTGCTAAGGCAAACCTTGATAAAAATTTCTTGGGTTAGCTTCTATTCTAAAATTAAAAGCTGTACATGATTTCTCCACAAGCAGGAGAAGCTGTACGTGATCTCTCCACAAGAAGGATTCTTCTTATCCTTGTTTCTTCAAGCTCGAGCAAGAAAAGTGAGATTTTTCCCTATTGCTCTACTCTTTTTATTTTATCTGTTGAGTCATGGCATTGTAAGGCTTTAGAGGAAATGACCATATCTAAAACTATCAGAGCTTTATTTATTCATTTATTTATTCCTTTCTTTCTATCGACTAAATTTGATTAGTTTAAAACTGTTTATGAAAATAAATAAATAATTTTTTTTTTCTGAACTATTTCACGATGTTATATATGAAACATGGAATGTTGTTGTTATACATATCAACTTCGACAAAGTACTATTACCAGTAGCTTGTTTGTGTCGAGCATGAAGTTCAAATCAATGGCCTTACATCCTTCATTATCTAAGCACCACCTACTAGCTGTTTGATGAAATGCATCAACCAAATATGTTATGATTTATTTGTATTAGAAATTTGTGTCAAAAAGGTAGGTGTTTAAAGCTCCATCACGTGCATTTGTGTATATTGATCAAAGCTCATACTTTCATAATGGATTATTATCTCGGCATACGAACTCTTATAAATATCTTATTTCACACAAATCATGTTTTAGGAATCTTAACCCGTATTCATATATCTGCTAATTTAAAATTGAATATTCATCTTCCTCTAGACTTTTTTTTCTTAAGATTAAATTATGAATTTTTAACTAATTTTCGTTACTTCGTTTGAGTATTCAAGTTGTATATTACGATGTGATTAATTTCCTAAGTCCCTTGTTATCGAAGTGGATGTGGATTAGCAAAAAAAAAAATAATATTAAATTGCATGAGCGAAACCTTGTCATCGTCGATAATTAATTGCCTTGAATTCAATTAGACTTTCTGCAAGAGGAAGTAAATTAACTAAGATATATTATTGTGAGAAAGTGATAACATTTAGGCAAATTTGTATTTAGGTCCTGCATCATAAATCATAATGGTCAAATATGATATTTTTAAACTTTGTTTTGATTTTAATATATTTGTTTAATAAACATCAAGAATATATATATATATATATATATATTGAAAACATATATGTCTAAATTTTATTTATTTAAATAACGAGTGTAAAAAAAAAAAAATAAATAAATAAATGGTCGAGTTATTCGTATTCTCATAATGTATGTTTAATTCTCGTGAGGAATATTTGAGCTAGTTTGAATGCTTTCATGGATTTGCTTTGTAATATTCTTACTTATATTTTGAATGACATTAGTTACATAAATGTTATTGCACACTGAGCATCTGAAAGCTTATCTTCATTAACTAAAAAAAAAAGGCTTTCACACCATTATTTTGTTGGAATTATTTTTACTGTTATATTCTTTTCAAAATTAAATCTATAAAAGTACCCGTTTAGTGGTCTAAATTATGTGATTACTTTCATCAGAATACAATGCTAATAATTTTAAGATGTTTAGTCTACTATCTCAATACTCTATCATTTTTGAAGGAAAGTTATTTTTAAAATTTTATATTATTATTATTATTATTATCATTTTTATTTTTAATTTTTATATTTAATAATATTATCATACATTTATGCAAATATTTTCTTGGTAAGATATGTTCTCATAAACTATATGAGGTTTGTTTACTTAACTGAAACTCATTTGTTATCTCGTTAGTGTTAATGACTTACATGATTCGTTTACTTATTTTTCTTAAAATCTTTCGATTGGTAATCAGATTATATATATATATATATATATATATTATATATATATCATAAAATAATTTAGTCTTAAAATATATTCTTCAAATGATTTGTAGTCAAATTTGCGGGTTGGAGTTGATACTACGTGAGATTCTTCTGCTAACGCACATAAATTCCACTAATACCTATCTCAATAATAGATTTGAGATTGATTATAGCCTTGCATTGTCGTAAATTAGCTTACTAAATACTATTAAAAAGAGGAAGATAACTTGCTTATTCAAGTCCTAGATATAGAACCCCTCCAATCATCATGATAGTTGTATGTGTGTCACTATTTTAATTTCAGTCACTTTTTTTTTTCCAATAACTAAAGTTTAGCTTACTTTATTTATCATTCTTATTATTTTTATTATTATTATTTCTTTGATAATTTTGTTATTTGACTAATAAGATAATACATTTCATACTAAATTGTGATGATTGTAGGCTTATGTATTCTTCAACATTTTAATAAAAATATTAAATTGTGGCTAAGATAGTGAAGTTTCAAACAAAAATTTGTCGCTCTGAGACTGTATATAAGTTTGATGTTAATGAATTCTGGGCACGTATATTTTCTTTCTTATTACACTAAATTTTAATCGTGATGACTACTAGCATCTTTGTTCCAAATATGATAAGAATAATGCAAGTATATTAATGATTGAAGATTCAAATGTCTTAAACTATATATTGCTATCACCTCACATACAAGTTTCTAAGTCATCCAACAATTCATGACTAGGGAAAAGTAGGTAATTGAGCATGATTGGCAAATACTTGCAAAGCATCTTATGTCTTAATTTTATAATGAATGTTTATTTATTATATCATTTACTTAATTAGATACGAATTTTATTGTAATCATATAATTCAAAGCAATTTGAGGAAATTAATTCTTATATAATTGTTGAGTTGTATTTAACACTCAATATACATGTTAGTGTAGTACTTTTTTTTTTTATAATAACAATAGGCTTCCCTTTTTTTTTTTTGGTAATCTTGAATAACATTTAACTCGCATATTATTTTGTGTTCTATGCAATAACATTCACATACTTTATAAATGCTAATCTTAAATTTTCTATTAGTTATATTTTTTTTTTATTTACTTGCATTTCTTTTCTGAACGACATTACGCTTATGTATGTATTTTCTTTATCTTATTTTGCGAGGTATATTGAGTCTTGCACGATCAAGAATCAAGCTGCATCATTTGCTTATAAGCTCTTAAGTGGCAGCGCCACAGCCAGGTACATCGGGTCTTGCACGATCAAGAGTCAATGGACAATTTGTTTGCTTGGAGATTTTAAGTGGCAGCGCCACAGTCAGGTATAATTTTTGCAACATAAACTTTAATTATATATCGGAATGCTTCACTCACACACTTCTTGTTAATAGGTATTTAGCATGTTTAGGTAGCCAGTCCTTAGTTAGTTCATGACGAAGCTTTGCCTTATAGGTCAAAGCTTGCCCCTTCTGTGAGCCCTAGAGACCATTAGGGTCATTTAGGCCTGTAGAGTAGGCAACCCATTTGTGCCATTGGGCATCGTTGTTTTTCCCACACGAAGTGGGCATCGTTAGATTTTGTTTTTTTTCGGTTTTGGGTTTGATACCCCCCACCTTCTGTGAGCCTTAGAGGTCATTAGGGTCATTTAGGCCTGTAGAGTAGGCCACCCATTGTGCCATTGGCATCACTGTTTTCCCACACGAAGTAGGCATTGCTAGGATGGTTTTCTGTGCAGATACCTTGCCTGGAGGGTATCTGGTGTGTTTATTTACTTTTTCTTACTCTGGATGTCATGCATGCATTTGTTTTTACACACTCTTACTTCATACTTACACTTCACTTACATGCATACATTACATCACTAAGCCTAAGGGATATTTTGTATCTGTTTCATGCATCATAACATGGCGCTAGGTACATTCTTGTGCTATTGTAGAGTCTCTGATTGAAACCTTTTTGAACTACACCATCCTTAATTTTTAGGATAGAACCTCCTATCTTGTATACATATAGAACGATTGATTGTGTTTAGGATGTTAATTGGCAGCTCACTCCAGGCAAGCATAGCCAGGTTATACACCCCTCAGTTGTCTCTTTCATCTGTTTTTGAGTCTGTCATTTCCTTTAGGATAGTAATCCTATCTTTGATCTTCTAAACTCAAAATTTTAATCATATCTTTATCCATTCAAAAAAGTCTAATCATCATTAAAAGATAAATAGAAGGGATCTTTGGAATAAATTTAAGAACTTTATCTGTGCACCAAATTAAGAAGTGAATAATACAACATCCTTAATCGAGAGTTTTCTTAGACCGAGGTCTAAGATGTAATTAACTACGGGGGCTTGCGCCTGTAGGAAACTGATCCCCACAATCAAATAAATCCTATTCGAGCTGATGTATCGAATGGGGTAAATCTCGTGGAACTTTAGGGTTTATATCATATTATTATCCATCGAGGTGGTAGGTGAAAGCCGCTACCCTCCATGGCTAATCGTATGTATACTCCATCTGCTCTCCATTGGCCTGCTTGTGTCGATTGTAAAGGCCTTACGACCGTTTGTCCTACGGGATAGTGCGATCGTACCCTTTAACTCGAATCCACACGAGCAGAATTCTTTCGGAGACCCACAGGCTATATCCAACTATTTTTTGCAGTAGTGGAACAATAAAGGCATATCATCAATGATCCTGTATTAGGTGCATGATTACACAAAAATAGTCATTTTGTAGATGTTCATCCTGCCAGTAATTGTTGCATTATTTAAGCTGTAATCCAATCTACTACTGTTGTAGTTAAACATTCAAAACAGTGTTTGTTCTTTTCATTTAGTGTTATGTAAAAATCCCCTTTTTTGGAATTTTTACATACATAACACATAAAACTATTAAAAATACATATTTACAATATAACCTAACCTTTTATATTTGCTATATACATAAAACCCATCTTTTAATTAATCTAACATTCCGTTTAAACCTTCCGTCAAAAAGAACAATCAAGATTGTCTTCCCCGTCAATGGCATGCTCCATAGTGAATAGAAGTATCTCATCGCTTCAATAGGTTTGTAGAATAGATGGAAAAGAGGATTTTAGGTGGTATATTAGTAAAATAGAAGTTTAGATGTTAAATATGTATTTTCAAATAGTTTTAGATGTTATGTTTGTAAAAATTCCCTTTTTTTTCATGATGCGCTGACCTAGTTTAGAGAAGGTTCTCGGCTTCCTTATTAAAGCATTAATGATAGATCAACAACACAAATGCAGGCCTGTATAGCAAGGGCTTTTGATACTCTGTTTGAGCTAAAAGCGAAGGCAA